CCGATAAATCCAGTCTGCCACAAACCAATCCGCCACATTCTTTGAAGTTAGTTTGGCCAGCGCAACTGTCTCCGCCCATCCTGAGAAATCGTCCCGGGCAATGACCAGATATTTAAATTGCCCTGCTTTTATGTGTACTGCATCCATACTTACCCTCTCAAATAGTGTGGTTTTATATGTGGCTTTACCTTTTTCTTTTTGGAGATCCTTACTTCTCTTTTGACAACTCTCACAAGATTGTACCCAACTCCTAATCATTTTCTTCATGCCTTCCCACCAATACCGTAACTTTATTCGTCGATAAGTTTCTCCCATTCCACAATGTCCAAGATCCTCGTGTAGTGCCTTCATAATTCTGTTCTGCATCTCTGGTACGGATACTATTACCTGACTCTGCGGCTCATTCCTCTTCTTCAGCTGCCCGTCTTCAATAAAGTAATTGACTGATCTTCTTTTAATTTTTACAAACTCTTTATCTGCACAGTCCGGGGGTTGCACTAGTGTTCCTAAATATTCTTTCATTCGTTTCCAAAATCCGACCTGATGGCTGCCAGCGTTGATAACTTCTGTGACCACAATTCTCACTTCCTTGGTTCCAAATCCTGGGTGGGGGTTGATCCAACTTTCTTCACCGTCCATCTCTCTAGGGATTTCATCGTTGTCTGGAGGTCTTCTTGATAATCCGTCCGGCATTGTGAATGTTTTTCCCGCCTTATGTACTAATTCAAATGAAAAGAGCTGAATAAACGCTACCCATCGAGTCATTGGCGCACTTGGGAGACTTGGAGTATTGATCATCTGGATCAAGGCTTTTGCATCCACCTGTAGCTCGAAATGTTGCCCCCATAATACCGTTTGTAATTTCTTCAAAATCTTATGTACTCCGCATAACTCTAGCTTGGATTGTGAATATTCTGACTCTTTATCTGTGAAGCAAACCGACTCGTACAATACTGGTCTATCCATCCTGTTCTCGTCTTCTTGCATTAGAACTGCTCCTGCTGCGATGTAACTAGAATCCACAGCTAGTTTTATTTTTCCTGCATTCTCGCCATAATCCAGTCCTTTTAGTACAATGTCTTCTCCCACAATCTTCTTCAATTTGCAGAACGCCTCCTCACATTCCGGTGTCCATTTGAAGTCTGTGTCAATCCTAGTGAGCCGACGTAATGGGGATGCTACTAAGGAAAAGTCTTTGATAAACATTCTAACATAAACACAAAGCCCTAGAAACTGTCTTACCTCCTTCTTTGTAGTGAGTGGCGGCCAAGACTGGATTTTATTAAGCTTCTTTGGTGATATGGTTCTACCTTGATAGGATACTACGTGACCAACAATGTCAAGCGCTGGTACACAACAGGCAAACTTCTCCCCAGAGATTGTCAATCCTGCCTCCTCGATTCGAAACAAGATCCTTTCCAAAGTGATGGCGTATTCCCAAACGAACCTTCGTATATTCTGGTTTTTATCCAGCCGAGCCCCTCCGTAGTCTGATCGTGGTCCCTTAATTCCGCCATCATCAATGAATATTCCAGCATGTTCAGGTAATTCGTCTTGCAAAATCCATGTCATTTGTGCTTGATAAACTGCCACTGAATTAGTTGCTCCTTGGGGTAACCGTGTAAGTTGAAGCCGTCCTAAAGGTGTCTCGAATGTTGTAAGTGGTCTTGATGCGGGGTCCAATTCTCTTTCATCATAGCCTCCCATAATGTCACCCAATCCGTAACATGCACGTCCTGCGAATGAATCTACAAATTCCTCTATCTTTGGTGGTAATCCTGCATCTTTTATAGTAACCTTGTTCAGTTGTTGCAAATCATGCACTATCTGTAATTTACCGTTAGACTTGGCTACACAAAAGACGGGACTTGAATAACTTGACGTCGACTGCTCATATAATCCTGTCTTGATCCGTTTCCGTACTAGTTCGATGAAGTCACTCTGAATTGCTTTGGGGATAGGGATTGGTCTCTGTTGCCATGGTTCATGTTCTATGACCGGAATTTTGTAAGGTTGGCCATATGTGTGATTTAATATTCCTCTCTCGTCTTCTGAAAACGCAATTGATTTCTCCCTCAACACGATCACATGCTTCAATAAATTCAATTCTTCTTCTGTTAACCAGCCTGGGGGTCCAAAATTCACCGCCTTCAGCCTTTCTTCTGTAATCTTGCCTGTTTCTTGGAATGGTGGGGGAAATGGAGTGAGAGGTGTGTCATATGGATTGCGTGATAATTCAGGTCGTTCGAGAGGTGGGTTGAGATCTTGAGGCATTGGTTGGTTTACTGGTCTAATCTTCCTGGCCACGCCTTTATATTTGGCAGCGCCAATGTGTCTTTCCATCCTGGTTTACCTGTAGCAACAAATGCTTGAAAAGGGATTTATTAGTGTTTCAATCAAGTCTGTTAGTAGGTTTACGTACGTGTCTGGTTCTTGGAGTGTTAGCAAAAATATTTTTGATCTTATTGTTCACTTGAGCGCATAGTCTTTTTCTTCTTTGGTTGTACTTATTCATGAATTTATAGTGTGACCCACCCTAACCCTCAGCTAACAAAACTAATTGCTGCCTACACATCACATATTTTTTTTTTGATTAATTTTTAACAATTTTTATTTCTTTTATTTTTTCATGTACTAACCTTTCTTACAAATTCTCTGTTTAACACATAACCGGCTTTGATATGAGTGGGAAAAAAAATGAATTACTTACCTTATTTTTGGCTGGCTTGCATTGAGACCTGTGCCGGTACCTTGGCTTGCAGATGTGGATGCAATTTGTGGAAGCGGTGCAGCTGGGAGAATCTTCTTGCTTGTAGAGGTGGAGAATTCTGTACCCTGTAGGCCAGTTATAGTTTGAATTGATTTTTCTAGAGTGTTGAAACCTTTTCCCCGGCCAGAGCACAACCCCTGCCGATCGTACTGTTTCAGAATCACTTTCTCAGTTCTTCATACTGGTTGCCGGTATTGGAGAAGCCTTTTCTTACTTGATCGTAGTAAGTCCCAACCCTGTATTGACTTCCTTCTCAACACTGTAGTCTGATCTTTTCCTTCTTCCGCTTCAGTCTAAACAGCCAAATAGAAACCTCGCCAGCCTGCTTCTCCGGGTGTGATGTGTTGCTCGAATTGTTTGGCTGCCGGTCTCAATAATGTTATGGTGTGAATGTAATTTGTTTGGTTCATTTCTCACTGTACTGATGTATTCTTGCTTGCCGTTTCAAAGCCAGGCCGCTATAGCTCCTCTCTCCACGAATAACCAACTCGTCGACGTGTCCTGGGGAATAGTTGACCAGGCCTAGTGGATGATAAAAGGCGGTAAGTTGTTCCCTTCTTCCTTTCTCATCATCGACTTGCAACCCTCTCCTCCAGTAGTACTTACACCTTACGTGTCCGATTGCTTAGCTTGTAGTAGTGCACCGATCCTTATAGTTAGCACTAATCCTCTAGTCATGCGTTCTGAATCTCGTGAATCCTCTAAAGACCTTCCATACGAGTCGTCGGTTTCTTTGGACCGGGTAAGCCTGTTTCCGCTGTCAAATGCTGCCATACTAGCTGCCGGGATGGGAACTTATCATCCCTTCACTCCACAGGATATGCTTGAATCTTCAACCGTGGATTCTGGTTCTTCTACTGCGCTTCCTGGCTGTGCGACCCTTGCTGGTGAAGTGGATCCAATCCTTGAAGATCCTTGGATGGCCATGAAACGAAAGGCGATCCTTAGCGTCCTCAATCGACCTTCTTCCTATGCGCGCGGCTTACCTGCCCACATGCCCGGTTCCTCCTCTCGATCCGTCCGTGATCTCAAGATGAAAGGAAAGCAGCTTGTTCGTGACTGCTCTCCCATTCCGGCTGTAAGTAGTCTCCTGTCCTAGTTGTTTGGAGCTACCCTGTTCTAACTCGCTGTTGTTTTCCGTGCTGTGTTTTCTCTATCCTTTTAGAACTCACCCGAGCATCCAGTCAGCCCAAAAACCCGCGCTCCGACTGATCGGGTTGTGCATCTGATCTCCAGGGTTGGACCTGCTTATCAGAGTCCTTACCCTCCCAGCAAGAGTACGTCTGGGGAACCTAGCTCCGGTGATGAAGAATCCACGGTAGGGCCGATGTCTCCTCGCGACCATGCTCCACCCGCCTTCAAGCGCTCCCGAATGGAATCAGATCGTCCTTTTTCGCCCTTGAATACCACCAACTATCTTGACCTATCCCCTAGTCAGATTGATGAACTTCTCCACGAAGGTAAAGAGTTCCCTACGCGATTTGTCTACAATGCTGAGCAGCTCAACGAGATCGCCCATTGCTGCTTAATCGACCTCATCGACTTCTTCAATTTCTACGCTCCTGGCTCCCCTCAAGAAGCGTCGGCGCGTGTCCACCTCATCACCCGGCATCAAGGGCACTTCAACGTCTTTCTTAAGGCTACGAAGCTCTAGATCGATTGGATCGGAGGTAAGCCACTTCGCCTCTACTCGCCTAGTCGATCGTTGCCTGAGCGATGATTGTATCTTGTTCTAACCATGCGATGTGTTTTACTCTCACCCGGCCTTCTCTTATCTAGAAATATCCTCGGCTTTGCTCGGAAGCTGCTCTTTTTCGATGAGCTCCAATTGGCACCCGACTCGGCACAATTGTTTATAGCTGAAACGACCCTTGTCCCCCCGCGTTTTTGGATTTTTATCTACTCTCGGATCGATCGTAGTCAACGACCTATAATGCCTGACTCTTTGTTGTACATAGCTGTTAAATTTCCGGTTACTGACAAGATTCCCCACCAGCCTCTTGCTCGACTCACGATCGATTGACTGGAACTCTCCTGTACATAGCTACTGTTCTTCTTTCCCAACCGATCTCGGCCACCGCTTGCCCTTCTCCTATCCGTTCTTCTTGATTACAACCTATCGACTCCAATCCACGACCCGAGCTGTTCCTAACGATTATCAACGAAAACAACGACCCGCTTTCCTCCCTTTTGCGACGACCCTCTCCCTTTGATGACTACAACCTGAACCCAGAAGAGAGAAAAAAGAAAATGAAAGAAAATGACTAAATCCTAGAAAAACTTGTACATAGCTTGAATCCTTTTTCTTAATGTACATAGACTATGACCTGGACCTCAGCCTGGATATCCTTTCCTAAATAAAAGCAAGTAGCACTTTTGAGAGGCATACAACATACTGGAGGAATTATAAGGAAATCCTCTAACAAATACCTGAGAGGAAAAGAAGCCTAAAAAAACCAAGATATTTAGATGTTTGAGCCATGCTGAGTATATCCCTAAAAAAAACAAAAAAAACCCGCAATAAGGACAATCAGAAAACTAGAGCCCCAAAACCATATGATCTGAAAAAAAAATTTAATGAAGATAGTGATCCAGGACCTATTGACAAGAAAGGCAACCCTAATATTGTTACATAAGATGCAAGAGAAATGGAATTATTCTGCAATTGCAGAGTACTCCCAATCTTTCCAAAAGGTCTTGTAGTCTGACCCTCTACGAGCTTGTTCGTCCTGTAACACCCATTTAAAAGCATTCCAATCGATTTTTCCAAAAAAGCCAACCATTTTTGATACTAACTCCGCTAAGAATTCTTCTTCTTCCTCTCGCCGCTTTCTACCGCCGTGTCGTATTTGTTTTTCCATTACTAGGCCCACCCCCGTGTTGTCTCCTAAATACATATGATAACGATCTCCAGGCAAAATCCACCAAGTTTCTGGCCAAATACTATCGTTCTCCAGGTAACCCATTGTTCCTTCGTAGTTCAGCAGCATCATGAAACCAATACGGCCGGTTGAATATCCAGGTAATTCCTTCCAATCCCCCTCCGATGTTGATCCACGATTCTCAGGGAACATTCGTACAAATTCTTTATCCGGGTACCCATTGTCAATATAATCCGCTGTGACTTTAAATGCCTTTGACGAGTAATCCCTTTTGCTGCTTGTCCAGGTGGGAATCGGAGTCCATTCTTCAATGGGTTGAGTGTTTAATGCATCCTCGTATAACGAATCCGTCTTCCAGCTAGCCAATCCATGGGTTTCTGTACTGTCCGTTTCCGTCTGTTCGCCGTCTTGATCCAAGGTCTCCTCTAGTTCAATTCCAACTCCGGTCGGTCCACTCACATGTGGTATACTCCCAGCATCCACATAACAGTCTACTTTCATGCTAAAACACTTATCTGCTATCCTACGCGGAGGTGCCATCTCCCATCCTGGAATCTTTGGAGAACAAATGGGTATACATAGTCTTCCGCCATCCTCTAATTCGTAGCTCAGTATCTCACCTCGGTTTTTGGATAACTCTAGACGTACCTTGTGATCAGCCAGGAAGGGCCTTCCCAACACCGTATAAACCTTTCCTCGAGCAATAAAGAAATTTGCAGCCTTCTCATCTTCAGAATCTATGCAGAAATGGATTCCTTCCGCCAAGCCAACTATGGGCGTCGAATGTCCTCCAATACCCATGATGTTCATACTGATCTCACGCGCCGGTAACTTCAACTGTATGGCCAATCCTTCCGGCATAATATTCATTTCTGCACCTGTGTCCACTAGAGCCTTCACCTGTTTACCTCCGATCACGATGTCAATAAATCCTAGCGGGCAAGCATAAGTTAGTGCATTCTCGCTCAAATCTAAATTCATTCGGCGCTGTCGCTTAATTTCGTCCTCAAAATCTCGATGGTCGCATCTCCCAGAGTTTTGGCTTCTATTCACTGGTTTTGGTTCCTCCTCCGGAAAGGTCTGCAATTCTTGAATAAATTTGGGTGCTATCAATAGGAGCTCTTCCAAGGTTAGTGTAAAAATTTGCTTTAAAAACTTCTTCTTAAGTCCCCCCCCAACTTTGGATTTGTCCATAATTCTAGGAAATACTTCTTTTACTGACAGAGCTTCTTCCTTCCTTTCCGGTTCTTGTCGTGCAGATTCCTCCAACTCTGGTTCCTCTTCCACACTACTCCCGTCGTCCGAGCCGCCTTCCATCCACGCTCCTGGGTAACTTGGTCGTCTCTTCCGTGCCGCCGATGGATTCTTATTGGCTTCCTGATTTCCTGGTGGTGTCTTTGGTGTAGCTTCCTTGGGCTTAATTGGTACTTCTGGCTTAGAGGCAGGTTGTTGTGATTCTTTCTCCTTATCCTTGTTGGTCCGAGCGGATCTTCGCAGGCCAAATCCAATCAAATTCTCCTCGTCCTCTTCGCCGTAGTGCATTTCCGGTGGACTCCAGGCTTCCCAACGATTAGTCGAAATCATGGACGCTGTTGGTTCTTGTCTAGGCTTCAGAAATTCTTCACTCATCATCATGTTTGCCCTCTTATCCCCAGTCTCCTTCGCTTCATTGGAATGTTCGGCAAATTTCCTGACCAACTCTCGAACTGAATCTCCGGTGTCTGAAGGAATCACTTCCCGGTTAGGGTAATAAAAGTTGGGTCCCTGCTTGAAAACCAGTCGTTTAGTTATATCCTCGCTAAGGTGTTGACAGAACATGGAGGTATGATCCATTTCCTTACAATAGAAACATTGAAGTTGAGGTCGCGGAAACGATGGTCCTCCAGTTCCTGGTGGTCTAAATCCTGAATTGGGTGGTCGTGGCGCAGAAAAATGTGGCGGAAATGGTCTGGCGTTTTGATTAGTATTCATATCAGTACGTAACTTCTTGATTTCATCCTCTAAGGCCTTCATCTTATCCGTTCCACTGTCTGACTTATTCTTGCTTTGAGCTTCCTTCTTAGATTCAGAATCCTTGGTAACTGGTTTAGCTTTTGAAACTCCAACATCCAAGTCTAATACCGCAAATGATGCATCCACGTAATCCTTCAGGACTTCTAACTTTGGTACTAGTGCCTTCCCGTCCTTGGTCTTCTTTAATTTCTTGTCGTGAGCCAACTCCTTCGCTACGTCCCGTCGCATCTCAGTCGAAATTGCCTTCCACAGTGGTTCGCCACTCGTCGCATTCACGTCCTCGTAATCCATTTTTGTCAAATACGCCAAAATCTCCTCGAGTTCGCCAATAAACGTCCTGTATTCTTCCTTTGTCTGAATACCTCCCTTATCCATGTACTTGCTGACCAATATTGAAACCGAATCCTCGTTAAATCGTCTGAGTGGTGTTGCCCGTCCCCATTTACGAATCATTTCCTTCTTCAACAAGTCCCAATCCCGATTCTCGTGTCCTTCCATATTCTCAATGCATTCACTGATCTTCTTGGATTTAACCATAAAAGGTAACTGAAGAGCCACGTCTTGTCCGCCAGCTTTGTGCAAGGAAGCAATCTTCTCCACGCGCTTGATGAATAATTCCACTTCTGATCCATCAAAGTCTAAATTGAGCTTCCGCGTATCTAGAACTACACCTTTCTCTTCATCAGCAAGCTTGATTTCAGCTTTTGTCCTAGTCTGGCTTTCTTCAGATGAGGTTACCGCTAATCCTAACAAGCTTTCTTCTCCTGCTCCAATAGTAGTTTCTGCTCTGGCAATTCCCGTATACGGTGTTGAGGTTGCAAATCGTAATGAAGGTCCACGCGGTGGTGGAGTTTCCGGTACCGGTACATTCTGTGGTGCTTTTGCTTGATTTATCAATGTCATCATCATATCCTGCATGTGTTTCATTGAGTCCTTAAGTTCTGACATCTCTGCTTGCTGTTTTTGTATGATTGCTGATTGTTCCATGTTGAGTTCCTCCGTGGTTGACATTTGCCGTTTCTTAGATAATAATTTTTCAAAATGTTCTGCCAAAAATTTCCGCTCCCTTTCTCTAATCGAATCCTTCTTCTCGGCAATCAAGTCCTTCTTCTCGCCAATTGAATCCTTCGGCTCGCCAATTGAATCCTTCGGCTCGCCAATTGAATCCTTCGTCTCGTCAATCGAATCCTTTGTCTCTCCAATCAAATACTTTGCCACCTCAATCGTATCCTTCGTATTGCCAATCGAACGCTCCTTATCGCCGCCAAAATCTTCCTTCTCCCCGTTATCCACGATTGATTTGATGTTGAGCTTGATTCACTAGAAAAATATGATTGATTCGAATGATCTTGATGAAGGTAATCGGCCACTGTTGGGACACCAGATGTAGGACTCCTGGGACGGATAGACACGGTAAAGTATATGTATATCAAAAGATCCCTTGAGGGGGAAATAAATTGCAAATAGGTTGAAAGGCTATTACAACTTACGGGTGGTTTGAAAGACCTGCCCCTCTAATTGTACTAAACAAATAACTAAGAGTCTTGTAATCAATATTTAAGAATATGTGGCTGATTCCAAGATAGATCTTACTTTTGCAAAGTAATCTCTATCAGACCCAGATCACGTATCAATCTACTAATGAATATGTTACAACTTCAGGTTAATAATGGAAACTGTGGCGCTTATGGTTGAGCGCAAGACAGTTGAGTTGTTATTTAGAGTTTGTTAATGATCTCTTCCTTGAACAATTTCTTGCTAAGGCACTTCAATCACAACTAGAGCTCCGGTGTTACTACTACTACTACTTGTTATATGTTAATTGTTAATAATACTACTTAAGTTCACTTTGTTATGGTTCAATGGTTCTGGTTCTACTACTTATAAATCTCTGACTTTACTTAACTAATTCTGACAATCACACTACTGACTAACTAATTGTGACCAACTTACTCCTGTAGGTTGATGGGGGGAAAAGAGAATCCTGGTGGAGAGAGGCCCTCCTTTTATATTGAAGAGTGAGGGATTTCTGCTGCAGGGGACTCCTTGTGAGTTATTTTTGCTGCAGGTGACACACTTTTGCACAGCATGATGTCATTGGTTGCTATGAAACCAAGCCATGTAGCATGTGCTGAAACCTTCCAAAGCAGTAATCCAGTACAGTATACAGTCTTATGAGATTTGTGACTTGGAAACCAAATCCACATTCCAAATGTTCTGTGTTTCATCTCAACAGATGAAGCAACAGATCAAACATCAGATGAAACACTTGCTTACTTCCTTCCTTGTTCATTCTTCAGGGTCAAAACCTCTCCGCCTACCTTCCTTCTCCCCTCCTCATCAACTGTCTTATGTTCTTTTCCACTGATTACACAATAAATAAACCCATATTACATAACCTACCCACGCACACAACACATGTACATATGTATACCTTATCCTGTTGTTGTATGTCCTATGTAATGAATGTTCCTCCTCTTGTAATGAATGATAATTGTGTGTCACTATCGCCTCTTCTGTATGCTTTTGGCATTGGAACAGGCACAGCACACCACAACGTTTTTGCCCCATGCGCGTAGTGTTAGCGCAAAAAAAGAAACAAGCGCTAACACTACGCTAAATTGTAGCGAAAAATCGCTACACTACGCTACGGTTAGCGTAGCTGGCCCACCATTGCAACTGTGAACCTCTACTGGTCAAAGGAGATGTGTATACATTGAGAAATAAGGAATTTTAAACAAGACAGAGTCTGAGTAGCAGATCAACAAGTGGTGTTTTATAAGAAAACAGAACGTTTTGAGTCCATTGTGAATGTTTCATACAGATCCGGAGTGAGCTAATTGATTCGGAGGTGTTTGGAACAGTCAGATTGTTTCAGTTTGGGAAAACCCCAAACAGAATCATTTCGTTGGTGGCACGATTTCTGGGTGGCACGATTCGTGTCCCCTGTGGGCTTGGTTCAGTTCAGTAAAAAAATAAAAAATCAAAAAAATCAAAAAATCAAAAAGATTTCGCGAGTCCAAGTGGACAACCCTTTCCGAAATAGCTGTATTTATGTCCTCTGGTGTTTTGCCGGGTTTTGCCCCTCTTTGGTATGTGATCTGGCAAAAACCAGATGACATCATATGGACCATGCCAGCCGAACTTTAAAAGTGTGCTGATCCCGAATTCCGATCCATGGTTCTTGCAATGACGCATCACTCACGATTGAAGCCGATTTGAGGTGCGCGTGGATCACTGCGCAAATCGCCATACATTAACATATCGCTTTAATTCAAGAACGTGATATCTTTCAGCTGCCATCGCCCCGGTCTTGCCGGACTTTCCTCATCCATATCCACCCGGGGTGGATTGTGTATAAAAATTGACTCCTTCCGATCCCGCCGGAGAATCCCAGAACCATCGACCTTTCCCCAACAACCTGCGCACTCACTTGAAACTCGACCACCGCATACACTCATCTTCATCACAGATTTCGTGTTTTTGAGATGTCGCACTCTGAGCTAGACCACAAGGATGCCAAGTTCATCGTGTTCTCGTAAGTCCACCTCTGCTCTATGGCCCTCTTGTCGCGCGAGCTGATGATGGAAGAATCGTACCATATGTCAATGTTTAGCGACTTTGACGGTTTGTTTGTCCTTCACACCATAACCCCCCTTTGTCTCTTTCTCTCTCTCTTCCCTTGCTTTTTTTCACGCAGTAACTGATTGGTGCCTTTTTTCCTTCTTCTGCTGTCCTGAAGGTACAATCACCAGCGAGGTTGGTCACTCGTTTAAACTGCAGAATGAGGCCCTTATCTAGGATTTAAAACAACGGAGGGGTTTTGATTTTTTTTTTCAGGATAGTAATGATCACATGACCGATAATCTCGGCTTTGGACGCGAGCGTCGCAGGGAACTAAACCTGGCAGTGTTGGAAGGAAGAGCTACATTCAGGTCTGTCCCCGTCTTACTCCGATCATATGTATCTCATTACCCACCGATGGCCTCATTGACATCATCTTCACACCAAATTGTGTGAAACAGAGATACGTTTAAAGAGATGATTGAGAGTGCTAGTGCCAAGCATTCATTCGACGAATGTCGTGAACTCGTCAAGAATAGTTGAGTGGAGCGAGCGATTCTACAAGCTTGGACACAGCAGACTGAACGGTTTATGTCATGGCAATAAAAAACAGATATCAAATTAGATCCAGGCTTCAAGAATTTCCTGGATTGGGCGCGATCGGCAAACGTGCCGGTGGTGATTGTGTCTAGGTAGGAATTTGTACCGATTCCATTCATACTTTCAGGCAGAAAGTGTCTTGAGCTTCTTCTTTTTTTACGGATATAGTGGAATGGTTCCTATCATTCGGGCAATCTTGGAGAATTTGATCGGGAAGGAAGAGGCTGATCGGATCGAAATCGTGGCGAACGATGTGGATACAAGCAAAGGCTCCGGACCTGGCCAATGGACCATCAAATATCGTCATCCTGAATCGTCAGTGCATAGTTTCCTTCTGAAGTTTGCCCCTGCAGTCGGGCCAGTCGATCTCAGGGGATGCTAATCAAAACCCAACGTGCTTGACCCAAAACTTTAGCGGATTCGGGCACGACAAGGACCGATGCATCTCGCCATATAGATCACTCTCTAAGCGCCCCACGATTTTCTTTTGTGGCGATGGAGTCTCAGACCTCTCTGCCGCACGATCGGCCGACTGTTTGTTTGTCAAGTTGAAGGAGGGCACTGGGAATGACCTTGCCAAACACTGCGAGTCCGAGGGAATCAAGCACGTGAAGTTTCAGAGCTTCAATGAGGTCAAAGACGTCGTTCAAAGTGTGGTCGAAGGCAACAAGAAGGTCGAGGAGGTTCTCAATTAACCTGCAAGCTCAGATTGGGATATCTCTTGTTTTTGCCCTCCGACAGTAGATGACAACCCGGCCGATTTTGATCATCATTTTTGCTTCACTCATGAATTGCTACAAAATAGATCCCAAACTCTCTGATACTGGGAAGTTTTGGTTGATGTTTGCCAAAGCGAGATGTATGCTTTGTGGATGTATATGCTGCGCAGCAGGTTGGATATTGTTGTGTGAATGTTTGAGCAGATAACAGAAGCAAAAGCAAAATATTGTTTTTTTAATCCCCCAGTGGCTGGATCACATCTTGCTGATTTATCGAAAATCCTTATTTTTTGGGCCCGGGGAAACGAGATTCACCTGCGCACTCTTCCAATCCCTGATCAGTGTATTGATCCACATATCGTTTATGGCTCTTGTAGACATCAATAGTTCCTTGATACAGGCACTCAGTATTGTCAACTTGAGTGACATTTCTCCCCGAATCTGCTGTTTCTTTCTTGGAATTCTCATGGTTTTGTTTACTCTTTTTTTTTCTTCCCTATGGTCTTGTCATGCTAGCGCAGTTTTCAGACAAAGGGGAAAAAAAATTGGACTGTCGGTAGATAAGGAGGTCATGTCCTTGATCCTTCTTTCTAGTATTTGACTATCAGAATGTTAGTTGCATGATGGAGAGGGTTGATCGTGATTTCAACCAGCAAAGATGGGAGACGCCAACCTTGCGGCACATGTCGGCCAAACGTCCTTGCGGGTGATTGCGGCACTTGCCTGCCGAACGTGCCTATGGCTCCTAACCGGAGAGTCCGCCTCGTCCGAGTGCAAATCGACCGGCATGCTGCTCATTTCGTGACGACTTGCGGGGTCATCACCGGTGGGGGTCATCAGATAAGGACTCTGGTGGGCGCCATCATACGAAGGGTATGAAAGATGTTTTATCGCTTGGTGCAAAATACATGCATCTTCATATCACATACTATACATCGTTGGCGTCTGTGATGTGGCCTGTCGCGGTGATGTCTGGTGTATCACACTTGAGGGCCGATGAAACTATTTAGATGAAACCGGCGTTCAAACGACCCCGGTCCTCGACGATGTGTGCGCATTGCAACACAACCAGTACCGGTGGGGTCCTCGAAACTGAACTGTTGGCCCAGCCTGTCTGCCCGTCTCGACTTGATAACCATCCGCGCGCAGTTACCGCTAGGTGCCCCATCTCTCTCCCCCTCCCCCCCTGGGTGACTGGGCTGAGCTGCTGCAACTTCAGTCCGCAAAGAGAATTGGGACGGTCCCGATTGGTTGGGTTGTCAAGCGGAACTTGTTGGACCCAATATTTCCTTTAAAAGAGTCTCTCATTTTGCTCTCTTGCTTCGACAAGATCTTTCCTAGTAACCCTCCGATAGACGTTCGAAGTAATCAACCATCCGTACCACATCTTCTCCATCCTAAATACTCAGCTAGATACTTGTAATCTACATCGCTGTCATCCTCAACCACCCAAGCATTTGGGATCCTTCAGATAGAACAAAAAAAAACCGTCAAGCTAAAGCTTGAACGAAACCACAAAAACAAGATGTCTTCGCTGGATAACTCGACGACGACTACAGCGAGTGTTGAGGATGAGTGTAGTCAGTCCTTCGCCTTGCCTTGAAAGTAAAAATCCATCCCTGCTGATTTCTCCCTTGCCGAACCTCTCCCTCCTGATGATTCTTTTCTTCTCCCAACCACAGGCAACATTGCACCTGTAAGTCAACATCGTCCTTTAATCTCTTATGGAAAACATGGCTACAATCCTAAAGATGGAATTTTTTTCTGATGATTTCTCGGCTCGTTTGTTGGTATGGAAACTGCAGATCAATGAGCAACTCCCATTACGGATCGCTGCAATTTTCATCATCCTTGTCACTTCCATGCTTGGCACATTATTTCCCGTTCTCACCCGGCAATCCAAGCGACTCTCCGTCTCTCCCTGGATATACGAAGCCGTCAAATACTTTGGCAGTGGGGTCATCCTGGCAACTGCACTCATTCATGTAAGCTTTTTTTTTCTTTTGGGTGTTTGAAAATAGGTATTCCCAAACAAAAGACATTGACATTTATTTCAATCATGAAGCTCTTGGCCCCTGCAAACAAAGCACTATCGTCTCCATGTCTGTCAGTCGGGTGGTCGCTATATCCGTTTTCACAGGGCATAACATTAGCCTCGATCTTTGTAATTTTCATCATCGAAATCATTGTGAGTGAGAAAACACACATAGGATCGACACCACTCAAGCGCTAACCCATCATCTGCCCCACTCCAGGCCATTCGAGTCGGAACTTCACGCCTCGCAGCTCTAGGACTCAAGTACTGTGCCCATGGGATTGGTGCCGATCAACCCCCAACACACGAAGCCACCGCTCCCTCAGCTTCCGGCGCACATCACACACATGACACTAATGATCGACTGGAGTCAAAGTTGGACAAGCTTAGCGAGGAAACCGTCGCTACGCCCGCGTGCTTGCCCAGCGCCGAAGTAGGCTCGCAACTTATAGGAGCCGCTATCTTGGAGCTAGGCGTTATTTTTCACAGGTATATATGCGAGCATCCATATGTATATTGTAACTTTGGCAAACACTAACATGCTTCTCTCACAACCAGCGTTGTGATTGGCCTAACCCTCGCAGTGAATGCGCAATTCACCACGTTTTTCTTGGTGATCATCTTTCATCGTGAGTCGCTTTGAGACAGTAAATCACATAACTGAACATTATAACCTATTGACATGACATCTCTACATGTTTTCAGAAATGTTCGAAGGTTTGGGCTTAGGCGCAAGGCTCTCGCAACTCTCACTCCCGACGCGATACAGACGATTACCACTCTGGGCGAGCCTGCTCTACTCCTTTGTCACCCCGCTTGGGTTGACAATAGGTTTAGGACTACGAAACACGTGAGTAGGTTCTAAGATCCCGATTTCTGCCAAGAAAGTGGTCTAATTTCAGCTTTTTCTTTTTTCTAGCTACAACCCGAATTCTGCGACCGCATTGATGGTCTCGGGATGTCTCGACTCTTTCTCCGCCGGAATCCTGCTCTACACTGGACTTGTAGAGCTTTTGGCCCACGACTTTGTGTTCAATAAAACCTTGCTCTTGGAGCATAGTAATTGCAGGTTGACGTTCGACATCGTCTGTGTTGTTTCTGGGGCTGGGTAAGCAGGAGTTCCATAAAAATAAATACCCCCTTTCCGCATGTTTCAGCTCGAGCTCATGACTTGGATTGTTTCGTTCCTTGTATCTAGATTGATGGCTCTGCTAGGCCGATGGGCTTGAAATCGCAGATGCAGTAATCCGGGTTGTCAGTAAAAAATAAAAACAGTAGAATCTTACGATTAATCCTGACTTCGAAAGTTTGGAATGCGATCCTCTACCTCAAATCACTCAACCTGATCGGACCCTCATACATTTCGCCATCGGCACTTCATTAATACCCCTCCACTTTGCATTTCATTTTCGGAAGCAACTCCTCAACTTATCGGATCGGGATTCGAGCTCGATGTACAATACAGTTTTATCAATCAATTTTCTTCGTCTATGAATAACCAGCCTAACCGCACAACTTCGTTTTTTTTATTTCATTTTTTTCATTTTTTTTCAACAACTTATCAAATGGTTGTACGCTATTTGTTTAAAAGATTAAGCTTAAAATCATTCTTATAGAAATGTATATTGTTATCACACCTGTCTAAGGAGAAAGTTCAATCTATCGAGTTGACCCCCGAATTCGATATACATATAGGCAAATAATTGAATGTAGTTTATCGTTCCGACTTTGTTGGCCGTCGGTTAGGGCACTGTTAAATGAAAGTGGTCCTTTGTTTTCAACCCACAAGGAATCAAGGCTCTATCCGTATAAGAAAATCATCATCATACATGGCCGGCCAGCTTGTAGACTCAGTTGATCAGAAACAATTCACACAAAGGCGTACACCCGGATCAGATGTCGTGCTGGGAGAGGGGGCGTGTAGGCCATTTAAAAAACATTGAGGCCGAACATGCCATTGTGAAGTGGGAGGGGGGGGACTGTTTGAATGAAGGGATGGTAAAATTACGACTCGCATTGATGAGATGAGAAATTACAAAAAATGAGGGACCGGGAACTTCAAAGAGTGTTCTACTGGAATGTGAAGTGACAACAACGGAATGTGGAGCTGATTAAGTAAGTACAAGCAACAGCTATGCAGAGCTGTGATCACTATAAAATGAGGAACAGAGTGTTTTATTGGATGTTAAATTGGAATGGTAGGGTATGACAGGATGTGAATCAAGTGACATGAAAGGAATATGAAGCAGATCAGGCCGTAGTAGCTACAATTTTATGGATAACTTTCATCACTACTTAAGGAATGGCAGGAATGGGATTGTGCAGCTCTTATCAGCGGAGGCGTGTCTAAAGCTGAGATATACTCTGCCATTAGGCCCTTCAGCCCCGCCTTGGATCCGGACCACGCCACACTGTCGGAACGCGTATCATATCAGGTAAGCTTCTTTGATCATGACTGCTGGACATCATGAAAATTTTCATCGGAATCAGGCTGTGGAAAATAAATGGAAGCTTGCCTTTCTATCGCAGTGCTCAAGTGTCTTAAGGAAGTCGTCTTCAAGCTGCGCCTTTGTCCTGATCCACAGTAAAATAGAGTGGGTAGAGGGTGCTTAGTTAAAATCACTGTTTTCCCAAGAATCAATTGGGCTGTCTTTGCTGGAGGTTGGACCATCCACTCACACATCAAGTTTCGAAAAATCGAATGTGTACACAGTGAGCTGGAGATGTACATAATTATGATTATATCAGATACCTTCGGAGAAAGCAGTTCACATTGAATGGTAGAGACAAGGCAAGAGGCTAGTGATAGGACTTACCGTACAAGTCTTGTTGGTTAATTGAACTGAGTGGGTCCGGCGGCCGTCTTGATCAACGATCCGTCCATGAGAGTCAGTGGGGATGTCGGAGAACGCCCTGGCGGTTAGGAAAAGAAGATGTATGCAGAGTCAGATTTCGGAAGGAAAACATGCCGGGTACATAGAGCTGTGGCCCATCGTCCGACTCACTTGGTGCAGTCATTCTGTGTGAGGCGTGGTGCACGGTCAGCCAATGCACACACTGGCAACCGGGCCGGGAAATCAGAGTCCCAAGACTGGTAGCCGTCGATCGAGCGCTTGTTGGCATAGAAAACAATCTGATCGACATCAATTCCACCCGTCTGTGAACATTACGGACAAGAGTTTTAGACGGGTTTCGAGCGTCTGAGATCAGCCATTCCTCCACCGCAGTCTCAACTCAAGAAAAAAAAGAAGAGGTGACTAAAGCAAGCTCACGTTGTGCGGGCATTTGTCAAAGATCTCGTTGAAGCGGTGTTCAACTTGGGCCTTGTTTCTATAATTATGACAGCGTTCAGAAGATGCCAATGGTGTGGAAATGGTTGCAATGCCAACTGCTCTGGACTCACATACGAATACCGAATTGATTTACGACAGATATCTGGTGGATATGAGGTGATTGATTGGGCTGTCAGTTTGACTGGAAGAGATGGGTTGGCAATCGAACCAACTCACATTGCAGTCTCCATAGCTGTAATCTACTTGCTTGGAAGCTGGGTCAAGAGTTTGGTCGGGCTTGTAGACAATCTGAGAGATGGCTCTGAAAACATGTCAATTGGGCACAACAAGATTATTCCCAAGGAACTATCGTCAGCAGTTTTTACTACTCATGGTTGAGCGAGAAAAGGTCAGGATAACCATCATGATGGAAAGAGCAGGGACCCACTTCGAACATTCCTCTCTGAGCACAGGTCTATGAGGGACAGGTCCCGGGTAGCACTCAATGGCGAGTGATTTGCCGGCGAGCAGAGTGACTAGAGCAATGGTCATGGATAGCTTGGGGTAAGCACTCATTTTGAATGGTGTCAGTATTAATTTATCTAACAAATTGTCCTGAAAGGTGTGGTTGTGTTTGACAGGGTTTGAAGGAATGGATAGTCACGATAAGATCAAATTAAAAGTAAAGGGATGTCTCTTCTGGCAAGGCTGGCCGATTCCCCCTTGGTCAAGGACGCTCGATTTTTACATCGGATCCCAGGAAAGTGGCCTGACCAGCTGATCACCCGATTTCTGTGGAGTTCTTCCCCAATCCTACCTAGCCATAATAATATTTACCACATCTGATACGAGGGGCGACCAATAGTCACTAGGGAGGAAGGAGGCGGATTGCTCCAGTTTTGGATGATGTATGCTGCCGTCCAGAAACTCCGACTAGGGAAGCCAAGGAGAGCCAAGATCCCTCAGACAGAAGAAACATGAGGATCATGTGTGCATGTTTGTTGGACTGATGGTAGCCATTTGAGCCACGACGTATGAGCAGATCAGCAACATCTTGGGCTCGAATTCTTTTTTATTGGTTTAGTAATATTATATACCGCAGATACTTTTTACAATTTCTTGTCCATGGATCGTTTGAAAGGATTATCTTTGTTGCTTACCATGATTTTTGTTGGTTACCAGAACGCGTTGGCATGTTACACAACAAGCTGTTACATTCCCGGAGTCACGGGATCGGAAGACTTGGTATGGCCAAGGAGGTTGGTTACGCTACAGCCACGGCGATCTGAGCCAAAACCGGCAACTTAAATACAAACCATTCAAAGACAGAGATTGCTCTTGGAAGAGGAAAGAGTGTCTCGCGAACTTCCCTTGGTCGTGGTGGGGTGTTTGTTAACTTCAGAGTGGCCAATTATTAGAGGATGATTTGTTTGATATGTTTGACATCTTGTCTAACGACGATCGGACCCGCGATGAGGCCCAATCTTGGATTGTTTACCGGAGGACAGTCGATAGCTTCAAGTTCAAGGACGTTGGAGCGGTGGGACTTGGATGACCGACGGCTCGTAGGGTTAACACACAACCGGTAGCACGATCAACAAGAGGACCACACCACCCAAGCAAGGCCATAATACGCCGGCCCGATCCTATCAAAGCGAGGAGAAATCCAACAAACGACACTCAACTTCGTGCTGTTCACCCAACTCAGTGGCCGCATTCGGGATCAGATCCCACTGATTGTGGACTGGGTAAGAAGAGCTTACATTGCTATGTGCTCCAAAAAAATCGTATCCCAATGCCACAAATGGCACCCTGTGAAAGCCTATTTGAAAATTCATTGCCAAGGAGCCTAGGAGGTGACAAAGAAGGCAGGTGCCGGATGAGGAATTGGCCTCCGACCGGCGGTCTGGTTTGTCCTGACGTGAAGTTCAATTGACTCATATCTCTTGGCATCAACATGATATCCAGCACCTGGCAACTGCCACCAACAGCCGTTCGGACACAGCAGTCCGAGCGAGCAGTTGCTGTTATCCGACCGGTCCCACCTACATCCGAGATGCGCAATCAGTCGGACAACACCTGCCCCAGCGGGAACTGGCCAAACAACCAGTTACTGCTGGTAGGCTCAACAAACTTACCCATCAACAACCTACTTACATTGGACATTTAATGCTCCATTCAGAAAATGTGATAAAATGGTTTAGTTCAAAAAAGGTATTCATTCTCTTGAAGTTGGTACCGCATATTTTAATTTACTTATTCTGAGTGGATTTAAGACATAACCATAAGAAGTCGTCGTAAGATGATAAGATAAGACCTGTGTACTAGGAAGGATAATCGAATGGACTTGAGGGGGGTTGTTTTGTATATATTGAGGTAGATAGGATAAGTTGTAGTACGGCTTTCTCTGTTTCAAGAGGATAAAAAAAATTCGAAAAGAAGGGCAACAGAAACAGACTGATGAAAAAGGAAGGGCAATTGACTACAGAAATCGAAGGGGAGAGGAGGGGGTGGGAGGACGGAAGTGTATTCAAGACAGTTTCAAGAGTTTGCTATAAAAAAAAAAGAATCAATCAAGAGGAAATAAGTCAACTAGAGAAAGATGCGTTATCAACAACTTAAGATCGCAAATAAACAAGGGATCACATCTTGTAGAAACTGGTTTGAAAAAAAAAAGAAAACTGGTCGAGGAAAGATCACAGAAGAGTGTCATTCAATTAAACGGATCGATAATACATACGCTAGTTAAAATAGATACTGAGGATAATGGCTGAGGATAGGAAGCAAGAAAGCAGCAGCTGGTGACGACATTGCGCCACGAGCGCATCAATCGCAAGGACTGGAGAGCGCGAATGATCCAACGGAAGGGTCGCGACCATGTAGAGGTTCAAAGGTAGAGGATTATATCCGAAGTGGAAGGATTGAGGGGGTCGTCGTCGGAGTAGTAGTGGTTGTGTAGATCGGCGTAGTGCGGATGTGAGCAGGCGTGATGAGCTGTGTTGGATTGGGGTGGTACCAACCATGAATAGACAAAAAAGAAAACGAATCAGATGCTGGATTAGAAAATGAAAGAAAATGGATGATGGGAAGATCTAATGATGTATGTACCTTTCGAGGTGGGGTCTTGAATGATTGAGCATCTACTGGTCTCGAGTCGAGATTTTCTTTAGATTCTTCTGATTCAGGGCAGGGCGGAGTAGTTTCGGGTAGAGATGATGAAGAATCTGGTTGAGGTAAAAAGACTTCATGCTTGAGTGCACTATCGCATTGAGCTTCATTTGCCCAGGAGAGTAGTCTGATCTCGGCGAGTGCTGGACGGGTAGGGGATGATTGGGAGGGTTCGTTGGATGGGGGTGGCTGCAGATCCGGGGGATCTTGATAGATCGTGAATGAAGGACCGTCATCGTCCATAATAGCCATAATGGGCTTGTCCTAGGTAGTTTTTGTTTTTGCTTGCTGGTCACAGTTGGTTGAAGTCCATTCAACACCTACCCCACCTACAAAACCGAGTATTAAGATTATCTTCAAGTTTGATCAGCATCACTGGCAGATCATCGAGTGGAGAAAATGATGTCAAGAGGATACTGCATATATCTAGTTCACTCACGGTAGACTTCGGCTAGAAAGATGATCAGGAAGTTAATACAAGATCGAAGAAAGTAAAGCGAGTTGTGCTGCTGGGGGTGTCTTGAGACAAGTTTCAAGAGTAGCTCGGGATGATGTAATTGCGATGAAGGGGTGAGGAAGTTATGAGTGTGTGTGTGTAACGCGGTCTTGCTGAGGGTGGGGGAGGCAGTGTGGACTGGGGGATGTAGGACCAGTTATATATATAGGACTTTCTGGATGCGAACCGAGCGAGGAGGAGGGGGGGAGGTCGCCGGACCACTAGAGTTACGGTCCAAAAAAAGGGCTGGGAGAGATCGGACCAGAGGTGTGGGGGGGAGAAAGATGGCAGGCAGCGAGCGGAGAGAGATGGCAGGTAAATAAATATGTAAAACAAGGTTGATAACCGAATATTTGCAGCAGGAATGACGGTGCGATAGGTCCGTAGGGTGCTAGTAGCCCGCTCGCTCAGGGGAGAAAGGGGGGAAAGGGGAAAGGGGAAAGGAGAGAGAGAGAGAGTCAAGAGTATTTTGAATGCTGATTGTGTGGTTCTTGGTCAAGTTAATGACCAATCGGAAGTCAATCGACCCAGAGCCCAGTGACAAACGGATGAACAGACGAAGAAAAACAAACAATCAAAAATCAATCAATCAGACTCAACAATCCACCAGACCAAACAAACAAAGTGAGGGACAGATTATTTTTAAATGCTGTTTAATATGTATTTTTGATTTTTTTTGGTTTTGTTTTGTTTTTTGAATTTTATTTTTGGTAATCAAGAATGATCGTGAACTGTTGACTGCTTGGGGTGTAAAGAAAATAGTGAACCGAGGGCGAGGCAGGTTGCTGAAACAGGCTTCTTTTTTCTTTCTTTCTTCCTTGGTGGAGCGAGCGAGCGAGTGAGTAAGAAAGAGGGATACACAACAGAGGCTCGATCTTAAAAAGGAGGGGAGGGGAAAAGGGGGGGAGGGGAGAGTCAAGAGAGAGAGAGAGAGGAGGGAGGAATCAACAAGGAAGGAAAACAAGAATGGAAAACTGTAAAGATGAAGAGAGACAGGAGGAGAATGAACTCGTTACTAGTCTTGGAGGGGGGTTGAGGCAGGAATATAATAAGGGTTATGTAGGCGAAGAGAGTGATCGATGTGGATCACACGAGATTGCCCATCAGCTGAAGATCAAGAAAGAGAAAAAATTGAACTGAGTAATGAAAAATATGACAATAATAAAAAAAAACTGTATTTAAAAGCAGAGAAAAAACTGAACAATACTCACAAACATGTGGTACACACAGTGCTGTCTTACATAATAGTAGCATACACTCAGTATGCATTCAGATCATTTGAAAATGCATACATAGTCCACCTCTCATCAGGGCTCCCCGGCCAAGGAGGCTCCAACCAACTGTCCATTTAACTGGAGAAAATTCCAAGCTGAGTTTGAAGGGCCAAGTGTGAGGATGGGTTGGTTGGCCTGCCATCTACACGCCGATTTCCCTCAGCACAAGATCGAGCATGCAACAGATTTTCCTATATATCGGCCGGCCATCTGCCCTGATCGCCGTCAGAGCCGATGGCATCATATTGAACCTCGTGCGAAGATTGATGGAGCCAAGAAAAGCACGCAATCCTCAGGAAGGAAGACTTGAGGAAATCTTCGGGCTCGGTGATCCAGGACCTTAGATGATCAGCTCAAGACCGAAGCGTCCACATCCCGTTCCCGTGATAGTCTACCAAAATGTACCAGGGACGGCATTCTTGGTTTTAAGCGAGCCGAGGACTGGTGCATATGGGCTCAGTCGAATCGTCACATTCTTGTGGGCTTTTGAACACTTCAGCTTCGGCTCTGATCGATGTGCTAGGCGATGGATTCAAAGACTGTCTACCATCGCTGCTCGCTCCCAAGGATCCACTCAGCCCAGCTTTGTAGCTGCTCGACGTCAATCAAGATGGCATGCTCAGGCCTTTGATGGGGTTATAGGTACAATCAATCGAAAGCTGAGTTTCTATTTTCATTAACCCATCATCCATCTGCACCCTGCGGATATAAAACACACACCCAAACACCAGACAATACACATGGGCCATCAACTTCTGGAGCTTTGATCGAGCGTGAAAGAACATTCTCGACTCTCATTCATCATATTGTAACGGATGTGGCCTTATAAGGAATCTTTTCTTGTTATTCCCGTGACATACACTTAATGATGCTTGTTGTACCCAGCGAGCGGAGGGATAATATACCAGCAGCATGTATGCGCATGTATACAACAGATTTGCACCAACCAAAGGAGGAAAAAAATCAAGCTGGGAAAGCAGAGTGACCGCCAAGCAAACTAGAATCGGTCGCAACTACAGATATACATAGCATCCCAGTCATCACAGTCTGTAGGAGAGCCATCGCGCACCGTTCCTGATCAGGACTTTTGATCTTTACATACTCCTTACAGCATGAGTTCACTTCTCAAAGAACTTCAGTCGAGATTCCAGATGTTTTATATGCATGCAGTAGGAGCAAAGGACAGCTTTCTTTCCTTCCGTTTCTTTTTTTTTTGAACTCAAACTGTCTGATCCCCCCCCAGCTGTTCTGATGGAAGCTTGTGTGAGCGCTCGATTTAGGAGAGCATCATGAAGCTGGAGCCTGGAAGCCGCCGAGCCCCAATGAAGCCTGCCTGTCCGATCTCTGTCCGATCCTGAAGTCCCCCTGACTGCCTGCCCTTGCTCGCTCCGTTCAAGCTTGCTTGGATGCTTGTGGCTTATGTTGTAACTGGGTGGGAAAAAAACTCATCTAATAGTTTTGGAATCCGTCCTTGAATCCGATGCAGGCCGATTTTGAGATTCCGTGGTTTCTTTCACACATTGTCATTGCATTTATTTTGTAACTGTCCACTTCTTAAATCAATAGAACCTCCAATCAAATCAGTGAAACGGAAAGATTAGGAAAGATTAAATACCATTGTATTGAGGAGGAAAGCAAAGCCATCGGTGGCAACGAGAGACAAATGGTTGTTCCCAGGGCAGCGTATGTATACAATCAGCATCCTTCCCAGACAAAAAGTGTCCGAAAACCTGCGAAAGCCTTCGACACATGAGCTCTGCGAGCAGCCAAATTGCAGCAACAAGAGTTCGACAAATGAGCAATCAACACATACTTGAGTGGCGGGCAACTGATGGTAACGGTGTACAACAGCTGTAGGCATGCAACCATACATCAATACCTCGCATCGCCATCCACTGGCCAAAAGGAGCCAAGAGCGACAGCCAAGCAGGGCCAGAACCCACGAACCCACGAACAAAGAACACGGATTTCTATGGGATGGCGATGTTATTGGTTGGGAGTATGCGTGTATCCAGCGTGCAAGCATCCGTTATAAAGAATGGGCAAAGACGGTAAAAAACACCCCGGGTACAGAATACACATCCCCATCCCATGGCTTCGATCTGTCCAGAGCCACTTCTTGACCGGTTCGGATTCGCCATGAGCGACGATTCTTGCCCCATATGTATCGAGTTGCTCTCCAGAAAGGTTCGCTCACAAGCCCATACATATTTCCAAAGTAAATACATTGGGGATGATCGATAATAGATACACTTTTCAGTGCCAAGCGCGAAATGAATATATCTGCTCAAGTGGTATGCCGAGATCTCCCGATGCCGTTGCCGCGATACATACAAATCGTCTTATAAAATAAAGGACTCAAACTATTGACTTCACAAGGTACATATTTAGGTCGGCCGGGTGCCGGATGGACGGACGGACGGAAAGCCGACGCCGAACAATTTCCAAACAAGGAAAATCTTCTGGGAC